TTTTGTGGTAGTTTAGGTATAGCTAATACATATTAATCAGAGGAAGCCTTAAACTGATATATGGTAGCGACATGATTGTTCTCTATTTGACTTTATGTGGAGCGTACGGCCTTGAATGTAAAAGAATTTATAATTTCAGTGTTGTCAGCCGATACGAACAAAATACGATTTGCAAGATCTTGAAGTTTGTTTTTATTCTTAGAAATGGGCGTATTACTAACCCTTTTATCAATTTATATATTATGTTCGCAATGTGTTATGCGAATATCCACAATATTCAGACATGAATTCATTTAAATAGGAATCAAGTGAAGTTTTTCTTCGATTTCTCCCGCTTACACTTTTTTTGCAATAGGATGAAAGAGCAGCTTTAATGACCTGACGGACTCTTTCCTATTTATTTTCGATGGAAGACGATATTTTTGTTCTTTTTTCAGACAGTTTACAACCTCTTGGTATTGAGCGATGTTGAGTGACCCTGTAATTACATGACTATAGGGGTGAATATCTAAACTTTGATGTTTCAGTCTCATGTTAAAAAAAGTGCATTATTTTGTAAAAAGGTGTCTGATTAAAATTAATTTCTAAACGGGTTTTAGTACGTACAAGAAATTGTAGGTGGCTCTGTGCATGTATTTGATCAAAAATGAAAGTATAAAATCACTGTATACATCACTATGAAATTCAATGCACCACGGAAGTCATTATAAAATAAAAGCACGTTGCATGTCACTTAAATCTAAACAAAATCCTATACTATTCGTTTACGCAAAATTCACACACACACATCCAATACTAAAATACAATAAATTTACAAAGGTTGACTGTGTACTGTACAGTGTACCATGACTATAACAAGCCATTTATACACTTATATTTATATATCTAGTATCTCGGCCTGTCTAAATTGACATTGCTTCCCTTAAGCTAGGTTCACACTGCCGATCAGACCAACTCGATCAATCCGATCAAGACCGATTAAGCGATCGGGAGACTGGTCGGACTCGATCGACAAGAATGTTTCGGGGTGATCTACCTTGCTCGTCATCGATCTGACTTTCTACCCGAGAATTTCTTACATGTCAAAACAATTCGAGTAAGGATCGAGAAGCCAGTCACTCGAGAAGAGATCGGGAATTCGTCGAGTAGCGAACGAATTGATCGGGAAAGGATCGTGTAGAGATCGAGTTTGGTCGGAATACAAATATTTTACCAATCAGTACTCGATCATTTTCGACCTTTGCTCGACTAATATCATGGCCGATCAATCAACTGTTTGATCTGTGATCCAGATTTACTCGACCTATTCCCGAACGCTTTCCGATCACTGCGACTACTATCATTTGTTATCCTAGACCGACTCGACCAATACCCAGATCTATACTCGTCCAAAGTCGACCACTTTTCGATCTCTTCGCGGCCATACACGAATACACATGACTGCTACAAGATTACATAAAAGGGTGTGCAGATCTGATTAAATCTCATCATTAGCTAAAATCACGAAGAGATCACATCTGTCTACTATTTAGTCCAACATCTAGGATACCTCGAAAAGGAAGGAAGGTCAACTCTCCAGCTGTATCAATTGAATATGATACTACAACCTCACCAACTGCCACCCCTAAAAGGGCTAAGAAGACAAAGACAATTAGTAAGGAACCAGCACCTCCTACACCTACTACGCCCGTTATTGATTCTCCTTCTAAGCATACCAGGCACCTAGATCACGAGCAGCCATGTTCTCTTGAGAAAGAGGTAACTCTTTTATAAATATAATAATTTATTAACGATTTATAATTTTATATGCAGTCTATGTAATATTTTTATGAATACACAAATTTGCTTTTTGGAATGTAACGTTTCTATTTTGGCATACAGTAAAATGTTGATTTTTACATATGATATATGAATGTTGCTTTCTCATCTTTCAGATTGTTTCTAAGCCCAAGTCCGTATGTCGCACACTCATTCATGAGGAGGAGGAAGATTTGGTTGCATGGCTTAGAGAGAACACATTCCTCTATGATAAATCCTCAGCTGATTTTAAGTTAATTGAGAAGAAGAACAGGACATGGGCAGCTAAGGAGGAAGAGCTGGTCTTAAAGCTGGTGACCTGTCATCAATATGGTATCTTAATATGAGGACACAGTTCTCAAAGCTGGTGAAGTTATCCAGCAAGTCAGGGTTTGGTGTAGCAGAACACACAGCAAGACAGCAGTGGCTTATGGATAGCTTCAGTTTCCTGCGTCCTTACCTTGTGCAGCTGCGCAACCAAAGAGGATCCAAAGTAAGTAATTACAAAATTTGATATTTAACAGTTATTTTTGTAATTTACATATTGCACTGCTTTAAATTAAAAATAATTTTCTGTAATTTTCTCTTTTCAAACATAACTAAAAATGATCCAAAGTAATTACAAAACTTAATTTCAAACATAGTTGTCCTTGTATTTTCCGTATTGGACTACTTCAAACTAACCAACAAACCTGTGTAATGTACTGTATTTGATTTCTTCTCTTTGTTTTGTACAGTTTGTTGAGAAGAGGAAGGAACTTACCTCAGAGGACACTGATGGTATTGATGCCGCTTCTGACTTGTCAGTATCCTCAACCGCAACTGCACCTGGAAATAATCCAAAAGCAGCTCGGGCTCACTGACGTCCAAATTAGAGTCCGTGCGTGGTGCCATCACATGTGCACAGGATTCAACTGCACAGACTGGACAGTTCTTGGTGTACTTGGTGCGCCAAATGGACCAGCAAAGGATGAACCTATTCGTCACACGTTCCACAAGGCTTGCTCTAGACCTTGCGGATGAGAGCCTAGAAGAAAAGCGACGTCTGGCAGCCCAACAAGCAGCTAAGCAGACAGTAGCTCCATTATTTGCTATGCCTACCCTTCCTAAATTAACATCAACAACACATAGAAGACAGTTTCAACCATCGACAGCTACTGGTTCAGCAATGCAGCAGCAGCAGTTCAGGCAACAAAAAATTCAGCAGGATTTTCAGCTAGCCAACAACATAGCTTAGTCATGAGTCGTTTGAAGACACACTTGACGTATTATAGTAGCTGTCGTCTCAGATCAACAACCGAAACAGCATTTCCAAGCCTCAAGAGAAGGTGTGAAATGTGACTTGATCTCAATCTCAGTACATTCAGTAACTTGATGTGAACTTTAAATTGTGAACTTTGATTTGTATTAAAGTTATAAAAAGAGGTGAAAGATACAAAAGAAACAATTAAATGCATAGGTTGAAAACAAAACGACAAAGCCACGATATGACAAACAGCAATCCACACAATGCAACATAGAAAACTAAAAACTTAGGAACCTGAAACTCAACCAAAAAATAGGGTTATCTCATATGCTACGGATGGGTGAGCAGATCCTGCATTACACGATGCATCTGTCGTATTGCTTAACATAGGTACCAATGCGATGGCAAGTCTCAGTTGGTGGTGTTTTTTTCACGATAAGAGCAGTAAATTTTATTAATAAGTAAATACAAACGATTCAAATTATCATGATCATTATCATTATTTTAGAGATTTCATTAACTCAAAGGATCTCCTAATCAACGTGGAACCAAGAAACTATATTTCTTAAAACGCCGAAAAAAGCAATTCATAAACCAAAGCTAAAGTTCAACTTTACACAAAACAAAATATATATAAATAACCTTTATTATAAAACAATTTTTACATTTTTAAGATAAAACGGTTTAAAAGCACCCCAAATATATAAGCGTCAACTCTGAGGAAGTTTTTATAACCATTGGAGTCCTCTCTGTTAAGCTCCTGCAACAGTCTCTCGTACTGTCCATACAGTGGTCTCCGTGTCAGCCACTGCCTGACACAGATTCCCCTGCGCCGTTGCTGTCTACGCCTTCTTGTTCGTCTTCTCCGCTCCCCTTCAAGCTCCGTCACGTCACAGCTATGAACCTGTCTCTATGGAGCTCTAACCACCTAGCCCACAAATACAGCTGCTCTATCTCCATGTATAGATATTGTTAATAAATGATTTAGCACCGAGTTTCTGTAATCTATTGAATGATAACCGAAAAACTCACACCTTTTTATACTGAAATTGACCATACTTGACCAATCCCGACTATCCCTACAACCCCTATACGATCAGGTCAATCAGGTCTGGTCGAGAGCGAGTATAGTTGACATAATCGAGCTGGTCGAGTAAAAATCGTGTAAATATCGTGAATTGGTCGGAATAATCAAATAGATATTCAATTAGTGGTCGGGTTCACTCGAGAAGGAGTCGTAAATGGTCGAGTTGGAGTCGTAAATGGTCGAGTTGGGGTCGTGAAGGTTCGAGTCGGAGTCGTGTGTGGTCGTATAGCGGTCGGGAAGAAGTCGTAAAGAGGCCCGATCAAGCATTTGGTTGCGCTTGATCGTGGAATTTTGGGCAATCAGGATCATCGAGTTGATCTGATCGGCAGTGTGAACCTAGCTTTCTAGACAGCTATATCCAGTATTGGACATCTACTACGGTGTTAGGCATATATACTGGTACTCTCGCGATGATCTCTTTTTGTCGAGCCTGCGACTTTTGTCGCAGAAAGCTCGACATAGGGATAGTGATCCGGCGGCGGCGGCGGCGGCTACGGCGGCGGCGGCGGCGTTAGCTAACTTCTTAAAAGCTTTATATTTTAGAAGGTGTAAGGTCTGGATGCTTCATACTTTGTATATGGATGCCTCATGTTACGAAGTTTCCGTCAGTCACATGTCCAATGTCCTTGACCTCATTTTCATGGTTCAGTGACTACTTGAAAAAAAAGTTAAGATTTCTTGTAATGTTAAATTCTCTCTTATCATAAGTAATAGGATAACTATATTTGGTATGTGTGTACCTTGCAACGTCCTCATGCCCGTCAGACAGTTTTCACTTGACCTCGACCTCATTTCATGGATCAGCGAACAAGGTTAAGTTTTGGTGGTCAAGTCCATATCTCAGATACTATAAGCAATAGGTCTAGTATATACGGTGTATGGAAGGACTGTAAGGTGTACATGTCCAACTGGCAGGTGTCATATGACCTTGACCTCATTTTCATGGTTCAGTAGTTATAGTTAAGTTTTTGTGTTTTGGTCTGTTTTTCTTATACTGTATGCAATAGGACTACTATATTTGGTGTATGGAATGATTGTAAGGTGTACATGTCTAGCTGGCAGGTGTCATCTGACCTTGACCTCATTTTCATGGTTCAGTGGTCAAAGTTAAGTTTTTGAGTTTTGGTCTTTTTTTCTAATACTATATGCAATAGTTCAACTATATTTGGTGTATGGAAATATTTTATGATCTATTTGTCAGTCACGCAGGTTTTTTTTTACCTTGACCTCATTTTCAAGGTTCATTGCTCAGTGTTAAGTTTTTGTGTTTTGGTCTGTTTTTCTTAAACTATAAGCAATAGGTCAACTATATTTGTTGTATGGAAGAATTGTTACCTGTATATGCCTGCCTAGCATGGTTCATCTGACCTTGACCTCATTTTCATGGTTCATTGGTCAATGTTTAGTTTACTTGGTTAATGTTAAGTTTATGTGACAGTTGTAATAAAGCTTTATATTTAGGACTATCAACATAATATCAATGATTAGTAAAGAAGGCGAGACATTTTAGCGTGTGCACTCTTGTTTACAGTTTAGTACAATTGGAATAAGCGAACTTGACACATCCAAACTCACTCCAGAAAAGCGCTTTGGACGCATGAAATTATTAAACATGTTGTTTTCAATTTGTTACATCACTGGGTCGATACCTCTGCTGGTGGACTATCAGTCCCCGAGGGTATCATCAGCTCAGTAGTCAGTACTTCGGTGCTGACATGATTTATAACAAACCTTTCTAAAATTGTCCGTTGTTAAATTTTGAAATTATAAAGAAACTAAGGTTTCAACTCCCTCAGGCAAAGTTGACCTTAGATGAATTTGGCTATTTGTTTTAGGTATTTTTGTCATATTGCTCTTCAACTGTTTCGGTACTTATACATCCCTCGGATTTCAAATGTTTGGCTTTGATCGTTCCTGATGAAGGTAAATCCAGAAAAGATCTTCGGACGCATGAAATTATTAAACATGTTGTTTTCAATTTTTTTCATTAGTATTCACTTGTCTGCATCTTCCACCAGTAATGTATACAATATCATCAGCATATTATGAACTGCCAACATATATTGTACCGATTCCAAAACAAAGTTTTTTTCTTATACCAATCTTCTAACGGAAAGATGTAAACGTTTGTATAGTGTAGGAGCACGTAAACCAACTTGTGAAAATCTTTTTTGTTCATGTACTGCTCTTGACAACTCATCCTCCCTTTTAGCCTTTTATCTCACATCTGTTGATCCGAAGACTTAACTATATACTAAACCAGTCCTCGTCCTTCCCGCCAGATTAAACTTATACAATTTTAACACCAACGAGTCATGCAGCACAACATCAAAGGAATAGGAAGCATTTTTGTAAGCTATAAAAATTTTCTTTTATGGTCTTTGGCATCAGCAATGACTTCTGTAAATAGTACAGGTTAATTTGTGGAGGTTCACGACGGAAAGACAATTAACGCTTCACAGAAATTTTAGATATAACTTAATGATGTCTCAAACACTTTTCCGATGATACAATTATTCGTCCGGTTGTAGAAATCTGAGTTCTGAATTGGTTTACCATGATTTTACTGTGTAGCCTAGAATAGGTGTGATTAATTTAATACTGTGACCAGACTGAAAATTTTCAGGTGTATCTCTTTCTTTTCAAACACGACCAAAATGTTTCAAAACAGCATGAAACATTTGCAAACGTCTATTTCAGAATAACACAATTTGGTTCCATTAATCTTTAAAACATCGTGACCTTATAATACATAATTTTGAATGTCACTGGCACAGTTCAGAGGCTAGTAGTACTTAATATGTATTATCAGTACCGGCCAACGCATAAGTTCCATAGAAGTGAGGCCACCACTTTTCCTTTAAAGTTTTGAAATCTCTCCTTTTGAACCTGTCATCTACGAGGGAGGTTTAAATCTCCCACGAAAGATAAAACAAACGAGTTCAGGTTAGGGTGAAGGTTGGCGCCTGTTAAAACGTTTAATCCCACTGCATTTTATGCACCTGTCCTAAGTCAGGAGCCTGTTGTTCAGTGGTTGTCGTTTGTTGGTGTGGTTCATAAGTGTTTCTCGTTTCTCGTTTTTTATATAGATTAGACCGTTAGTTTTCCTGTTTGAATTGTTTTACACTAGTCTTTTGGTGGTCCTTCAAGTACAGCTTGCTGTTCGGTGTGAGCCAAGGTTCCGTGTTGAAGGCCGTACTTTGACCTATAATTGTTTACTTTTTACACATTGTGACTTGGATGGATAGTTGTCTCATTGACACTCATACCACATCTTCTTATTTAGAGTTACTATTTTCACACCCTTCCGTCATTTGAGTTGTTTTGATAGAATTAACTTTGAAACAAAATGATGTCTAAATTAATTTAATATGTTAAAAAAAATTATATCATCTTGTTTGAGAACAGATTTATAGAGCTTATCCCTTTGTGTAAACAGAGACATTTAATACATACATGTATTATATATGTCTCTGGTGTAAATATACTTGATATAAAACAATAAAATCTTTCAAGTGAAATTGTTAGTATTTTCTTTGATATATTTTAACTGTATTGCAAAATCAGTAATAAGACATCCAATATCCAATGTCATCAAAAATGATATTTTAAATAATATGGAATCCATATATAGATAATATAAATTTGATTCGTATTTGCTGACTGGAGATATACTCAGTAAAGAAGTTTGTATCATAACACAAAATTATTAAAAGAGTCGTTACGCATTATCCCCTCTCGTCTTTTTAAGAGCTGGAAAGATGTAGATCTCCCACCCTGTTGCTTCAAAAGGTTGGCAGAAATGCTAGTATTAAAAAGTCTATTTTATAAAATCGTTATATTTGAAGTTTTCCTATCCGAAGTAAGCCTTTGGTATCCGACTTTGGATATTATAATGCAACATCCGGGAACTAGATGAGAACGCCATTTTGACAAGAAAAACAAACAATTTTAGTGACATTTTACATGTTATATATGGCTCACACAGAGCGTTATAAAAAATCAAAAAGTTTTTGTGAAGCACATAAACACTATCTTATTTTAAATCATAGTCCTACTTTTTAACAATTTTTCTAAGGTCGAATCTTGAACATTACTCTGCTCCTCCATGATGTTGGCGACTCTCCGTCTGTTGTTTTTCCTACTTGCAGTTGCAAAAAATTGTGGTAAGAATATTGATAAGAAAGTTACTTATTTATTACTTAAAGGAAAGCATAATGTAAGAGGGTAGTTTCTCGCCACCACATACTATATGGCAGTTTTTGCCCGTGCAAGGGGAGTATTTAATCGCAGAAATCCCAGTTGATGAATTGTACAGAAACATCACAATAGTCAATACTCAATAGTTGCCTACTTCTTGCAATGACAAATCATGACAATCTAAAATGTGTACCAAGCTATTTTTATCAGAAAATTGTACAATTTAAGGACACTTTACTTCTGTAAGAAAATTCAAAAGTTGCCTGGCTAATTTACCAAAATCATGGCTTGATGCAATTTTATAACAATTACACTATTGATTAAACTGGTAAGTTCTAATGGAAAGTATTGTTCTTTTAAAATTGGTTACAGCAAAACCAGGTTTTTAACTGGCCAGCAGAAATCCTGCACCTGCTGTGTGTGCTGGACTTTCACTTTCTGCCAAATTCTGGTGCAATCTACTTGAATGGAAAAATTAAAATTAAAAATGTAACAAAAAAAATAAATTAAAACTAAGCAGCAAGACTGTTTCCATGTTTAAATATGAAGTAAATTTATAAATTTACAACCTCAAAACGTAGTTCACATGTATTGGCAATTCTGATTGGCAGTGATTGCCCTGTATTGAATTCCTGAACAGACGAAATTAAAGCTTGCAATTACGTGAATGCCTACAGATGGAGCACATTCCTAGTGTACCATGTCCAGATGTAATGTTTATATTTCATACAGTGATGAAATAATTTAAGCAACTCCTGACTTACATATTGTTTGATTGTGGGGTTAAAGAAATAAAAACAAAGATCTTGAGATAAGAGTATGTCTCTAAAGATTAACTCAAAGAGTTCAGAGTTCGCGAAAACTTATTTCGACCCGTTGGTCATGGGACTGACAAAGCATGATTATTTGTCAGTCCTACAAAATTTTAGCCAGTCCTACAAAATCTGTCAATTTTATTCTGAAATAAAATTAATAACATATTTTATCGAAAAATAACTTTATTAATATTAGTTTGATTCTTCGCACCCACAGGCAAATTAACAATGAAGGACCAGTTCAGGTCTTCTGATTGTTCTTATTTAAAGTCATCTTCACTATCCATTTCATCATCTGAATCGCTTTCTCGGCTGTTACAGTATTTGTTTGCTCCATTGAAGGGTTCAATCGCCGATTGTTTGCCAGGGATGGCTCTATGAACAAATTTAGTAGGCCACGTGTAAATCGCCGCTTTGGTTTGTTTATAATAATTTCCGTAAACCAGTACCGGAAATTGGCAGCGGGTACATCTGATAACCGATGTAAACACTTATTGGAAACAGTTGCTGTACATCTAATAACCGATGTAAAAAAGTGTCGAAATATGCACTACAACAGCCTTTTTTACATCGGTCATCGGGACCGGCACTAACCTTCAAAATACTGGTCCGAACCTCATTTTGACCGACAGGACCGTCCATTTTCGCGAACTCTGAGAGTTCTCATTAAGGTGTGTACATACTTCCTGGAAGCATGATTTTCTGTCTGTATGCACCATATCAGAAACCAGTGCATTTATGGGACACATCCTGGTTACACTACCATACCTGCCAACCTCTGAAACCTTCAAAGAGGGAGATCGCTATAACAGCTGAGGGGGAGATTTTGTGCGAACAACATTTTCAAGTTAAATATATGACCTGTTTACTTATTCATCTACAAAATTAAAGCACCAATAAGAGTTAATAAATATACTTTATTTCTTCAATTCATGGTTTTAATCTGTACAAAGTGTTATTTTTTTGCCTTTTTCAATACCTCTGAGTCGCATAATTAATGACATTCCATATTTTGATTTTGTTGTGAGGATCACACTAAGCATGCTTTCAGACGTTGTACAGACCACCAGAAGAAACCGAAAAGTTGATTGAACATGATTTGCAAAATGAAGATTTATTGTCAAGTGAATTTGGTCGTAAAAATTGAAAATCTTTCATTCAATCTGCTTGACATTTCGATTTGCAGTTATCTTTTTCTTCTTTTTTACACTGTCGCTTTGTCCATACAAAGACCTCTATTTTGTTGGAGTTTACATAGCAGAAATGAAATTCAATTACTTATAAATCGAACACAGAAACTACTGACCAAAGTTTTCAAATGATCACTGATTATTTATTTCTATTGACAGTAACGAAAAAGCCAGAGAATTACAAATGCGGGTAAGGGTAAAAATATTTGAAAGCGGTAGCTTTTATACTCCGCGCTGGAGCAGACCGGCTAGCAGGAGATTTCCGGAATTTCGTCGTTTGCGCGGCAGACTCCCGCTCAAAACGGGATGGTTGGCAGGTATGCACTAGCTAAGTACTATCATCATTGATAGTATCCATGGTCCTCTTTTATACTCCACGCTGGAGCAGACCGGCTAGCAGGAGATTTCCCAAATTTCGTTGGTTGCACGGGAGACTCCCGCTCAAAACGGGATGGTTGGCAGGTATGCACTAGCTGAGTACTGTCATCATTGATAGTATCCATGGTCCTCTTTTATACTCCGCGCTGGAGCGGACCGGCTAGCAGGAGATTTCAGGAATTTCGTTGTTTGCGCGGGAGACTCCCGCTCAAAACGGGATGGTTGGCAGGTATGCACTAGCTGAGTACTATCATCATTGATAGTATCAATGGTATCCTTCAGCTGTTTAAAAGAATCTGAAAACGTGAATCTTGTCAAAATGACATTCCAAAGATAATGATTTAAAACCCACCTGGCCATTCATGTGGAACTCAAAAATGAATAGACACATATACTTCATTTATGTATGTTGTTCATTTGCATTTTGTTTTGAGAGAAACACAAAATATAATTGAAAGTAATCCTATACGAAATCCATGTAACTGAGCATTCAAAGATGCATGAGATTGGTGCCAATTCAATCCAAATTCAATTTTTACCTTTAACTCAAATAAAGTACCAGTGTTTTTTTGTGAGTTTTTTTTAGCATTATAAACTTAAGTTTATGAGATTTTACACATTTTTGTACTTGCAGATCAATATCTAATAGTTACCACTAGCGTGAGTCTTGAAACAGTATGCACACATTTTTATGACATATTTAGACATGTTACATGTATATATATACACTTCCCAAAACAAAAGCTGATTTTTATCAGCTATTGCTAGAGGAGGGGATAAGGAGTCTGCGCAATGCTAGGCAGTGTTGTCGTAGAAGTGAAAATAACAGGTTCAAGCTCCAGTAGGGGAGGAAGTAAAAAAACAAATCTAAACATTGTTAGATTGATTTTCTAAGCACTTAATATATATATACAATGTACGTGTATATATTTATGTTACACTATTTTTTGTACTTGCAGATGGATTTCCAATGGATCCTGATTACAATGAAGATGCTGTTAATATAATAACATGTGCTGTCATTCCTGATGGTTGTAAATATGAAGACAAAAGTCGATGTTCTCAAATAGAAAAATGTGCTTCTGTGTATGATAGTTGTTTTATTGCATGGCAGTCAGTAAATGGATCTGAGGACATTGTGAAACATCAAGGATGTTGGACAGCTAGCCACACATCAAGATGTACAACATCAGAATGTAAACAAGATCCAAATATAGGAGCCTTGAATTTTTGTTGCTGTAACTCTGATTTATGTAACACTAACTACACAATATTTTTTGGTAGTACAACACCACCTGAAGGTAGGTTCAGACAGATAAATTTTTGTAGTTGCTACTATGTGTCAAAGCAGTTTATTTTTAACAGTACTTGTATTTATACACAACATTTTAATTTGCATATATGTAAAGAAAGGGTCAAATCTATGTACAATATTGTCCATACATTTGTACCTCAAATCTCTGTCCTTTCAGTGATTTTCCAACCCTCATTTTGGGTCCCATTCCCAAAGAGAAATATGCTCTTTTTTTCGGAAGCTAAAACTAGCATTTGGATTTTAACATGTTAAAAAGTCATTTCTATTCCCTTCCCAAAACACTGCATCTATAGACAGTTAACCACAATCGTCTGAAACTGAAACAAGTAAAATTCAAATTCAAGCTGTTCCATCTGAGTCTCAAACATGTAGGTCTAATGATGATCATGAACCTAGTGACACTGATGCTACATTTTTTGTACATGTACAAATGCAATTTAAATTCAAACTATTTCATCTGAGTCTCAAAACATGTAGTAATGAACCTGATCCTTGTGATACTGATGCTGAGTCACAGTCTCCCTCTTCTAGTCAAATTTCTGATGCCAGAAAATTTAGTTATCTAAAATATGAAAACAAATTTTAATACCCCTGGTTGTACCATCATGACCATAGTGTACCAAAACAAGGATACTAGTTATGTGTATGGTTAATAAAAGCTTTTTTAACTTGTGTAAATATTGTGAACTGTTTGATGGAAGATATGTTAATGCTCCTCATGAATTTGGCAATATTGCTGTTGGTCTTGGGACCCATCCAATAAGAAAACTAGAAAACATCAGTCAAGTGAAAAGCTTAAGTGGAGCATTCATGTCCTCAGACACATTCTTCTTTTATTTTAAATCCTTTTCTATAAAAAAATAGCTATTTTTGTAGGCAATTCATGCATTTATTCCTTCTTAGAATGCAGGATTTTGCATTTAATTTTTCAAAATTTTCTTGGGGTGTTGGGCATGCCCCCAAACCCCCCTACCTTATGCTGTGTGCTCGTCTTGGGAACGGACAATAGATTTTTCCCAAAGCCAAAATTTAACACACTTTTTTCCCCAATTGCATGGGCCCTGGGTCCCTTCCCCATCACACTAGGAAAACCACTGCTTTTCCTCAGATCTGTGTCCTGTGATGTCATGGCATTCAAATCTGAGGCCTTTTATCCAGTCTCAAATCTGTGTCCTGTGACATCATGAAACTCAAATATGTGTGTATTCAAATCCATGTCCTATTTATAAGGTTAACCATGTTAACTGATAAGTATTTAAGGTCACTAAGATCATGAAGATGATGTGACCTTGGACACGCACATAATTGGCAGAGTTAAAATGCTTCAGTAACCCTCCAATTACCTGGGACTGTGGTATAACAACACAACATATGAATAAACTGTTACAATCAATTGGAAAGAACTTGGGTCATCAGATCCACACAAACTACAAAATTCAACAAACAATAAAACAAAAGAAGAACTGATTTAGTAGTACTCAAATCTATTTTACTGTTAGGCCCTTGTAGGCTTCGTTACTTATTAGACAAATCCCCAAAAAGAGTTTATGACTAATGTTTCTATTTTAAAAGAGAAAAACAAGTTTTTATATTATCAGGGTTCTTGAAAAGTGTTAGTTTAACTGATAAAAAATTAAAAGGTCTGACAAAAATGACCCACATTTACTGATACATAATATGTTGTAAGAACTTTCTTAAGCTCTTGTTCGCTGTTAATTTTACATTATGCTGACTCTAAATAAAATTTACTTACTAATAGTGGTCAGACAGGGAGTGAATTGATAGTAAAAATGAGGGAGAATAAGAAATGTCCAGAGACAATAAGATGTTTAAAATAAAAATATGAAGTTTATTCAGCAAATATACAAAACAAAATAACTACAAAAGCTTATTCTACCATAATATTGTTAGAAGTCTCGACTACTTTTCCCAGTCCTGTTGAAAAAAATTGGACTGACAAAATTTTGTTTGTGCTGACATAAGTTATTATATATAACTTAACATGGTTAATGTCAGCCCAAATGACTGATGTGTATTTTTTTTCAAGAACTCTGTATTATGACTGCTTTTACTGTTAAAACTATTTTTTATTCCCCACCTACGATAGTAGAGGGGCATTATGTTTTTTCAGTCTGTGCGTTCGTTCGTCCGTACGTTCGTTCAACCATCTGTCCCCCTTCAGGTTAAAGTTTTTGGTCAAGGTAGTTTTTGATGAAGTTGAAGTCCAATCAACATGATCAACTTGAAACTTAGTACACATGTTCCCTATGATATGATCTTTTTAATTGTAATGCCAAATTAGAGGTTTGACCCCAATTTCACGGTCCACTGAACATAGAAAATGATAGTGCGAGTGGGGCATCCGTGTACTATGGACACATTCTTGTTTCATCTAAAAATGATAAAATATTAAAAACTGAATAATCACTATAGCTAAATCAAGATAATTTCTGACAACACATGCGCATGCATATACAATCATTGACAATGTAGCACAGGGCATGACTTCTTGTAAAGGATAAAGATTTGATGATAGAGAGGACATAGATTTGAGACATCTATCATGCCATAAAAAGGATGGGACACAGATATGAGGCTTAAATATATATAGATTCTTACATTGATACCAGTGGATTATCGGATTTATCCAATCGAGATAGTTAAATTATCAATTTTAAAGTCCGAGCCTCGGCCTCCGATAATCCACGAGTAACTATGTAAGAATCTGTTTCTCTAATGAATAAAAAATAAATTTTCCTTTTTTGCTAAACTAAAATCCACTTTCCATAAAGTTGTCAATTTCATTAACACCTGTTAGCATATTTTGATGCATCCAGTGAGCTGAGAAAGGTTATGACCCTTAAACTCATCCAATCATCTTCTGAGATCACTGGCAACCACACGTTGATTAAATTTTTTTTATACAATGGGTTCGGAAAGGGATAAATTTCCATAGAATTACCGTAGAGAAATATATATATAGGGTCTGCAATTATTTTTTTAGAAATAGAATAGTACATGTTTACGTAAATAAATATTAAAGGACTTTAAAAGTATTCTCTATTGTACAAAATTTTAAAGATAATTTAGCACTCAACAAGTAAATTTAAAAAAAAAAAACATGGAAAAATTTTCAGTCTGTTTTGAATTCATTAACAATGGCACATTTAATACCACATTTTTTAAAAATTGCCAAATTTTCAATGTTCATCTGAATATTACAGTTCAGGAAATGAACGAGTGTTGTGGGTTGCACAAATAAAACAGCAACCCAATGAAATAACTGTTATCTTTATTATGTTTTATACTAATGATTCTAGTAAGTCAAAAAGAAAGATTTAAAATGAAATTCCTATACTGACAAGCTTTATATTAAATGATACTACCGTAAATACAACTTTTTATTTAATTTCTGCTGAAATCAATTTGATGGAATCATTAAATAGATATAAGAAGATGTGGTATGAGTGCCAATGAGACAACTCTCTATCCAAGTCAAAATGTCTATATTTGTCAAAAATAATAGTAAAAGATTTTACCAATTCATGAGATTAAGGTTGGGCGGTATTTACCGCACCCGGTATTTACCGCCCCGGACAATACTCCCCAAGTGGTAAATACTGGCAAATACTGGTCAATTGAAATTTTCATGCTTCTTTTGACTGACTTAATTATCTATCAATACAAGTAAAACATCGGTTGATGAGGAAAAACTTAATTCCTTTGGCATGATTCAGTTTATACAAATGAATGATATTGGTATGTTATTAACTATTAAAACATTAAAAATGATTAATTTAGTTCTTAGGCGTAATGATATTGCATACTTTTGGTATACATATAAAATTGCGATATCAGTTATTTTAACATGTATAAATCAAGATATTTTTTTCTTGAAAAGGTTTGAATTTTACAGGTAAATAGAATTACAAGTGACTAGCAATATAGATTATCAGAGCATTACCTATTATATGGCTAACAGGTGTCAAAAGTTTAATTACTATAACAACTGTCCCCTAATAAATGTTGACATAACAGGAAAAAGGTCATAAAAGTGATTTCTGAACATTGTTTTAAACAATGAATTCATTCCTGACTATTCAACAGCATGATAAAAATCTTCTAAATTCAGGAAATGTTTTCTTTTGATAAATATATAACATATATATATATATATATATAAAACAATTTTTGTAATTTTTTTAATTGCATCTTTCAAAATAACTGTTAAGAAAACCAGATGTTATATAGTCTCTTTTGAGTGACTGACTTCATGATGGTAATGACTATATATGTTGTATGATTAAATTAATATTTGATAAATCTTCATTAAACCATGTTCATGAACTAATTAATTGTGACTTTTTGTCCTAGTACAATTTAGTAAATAAGTGACTTTCTGCCTTGTGACTATATATATATCTATCCATTTACCAAGTAATTGACCTGAGGTAGGGACTAGTTTTTATAGTAAAGTCCTATCAAATAATATTTCAATTGACCATTATTTGCCAGTATTGACCAGTATTTGCCAGTATTTCACCTTATTTACCAGTATTTACCGCCGGCATGGTCAATACTAGTATTGACCGCTTTTTTGCCAACCTTGCATGAGATTATACTTTCTTTAGAAGTTTTTAGCAATGCAAATATTATGTTTTCATTAGAATCACTGACAACACTGCCAACACACACATATTGAACCAACTGGAGACTTCAAATACATAAAATGGAGCAAACCGTGTGAAAAATTAATAATAGAAAAGGAAAAGTTGTCCCATTTATCATGTTTATCATAATTCTGGATTTAACTATTTCGATAAAATCAAGCTGCTACATGTATCTGATTGGATCTCTCCTAGAGGGCACCAATCAAAATCCTGGATTAGTGACATGTTTTGTATACAGAAGTTTATATCAAAATCTGTACATACATTGAACCTGTCTGAAAACATTTGCTATCCTTATTCAAGCCCTTGCAAGTACATGAGAGATTGAATATGAGAGCGACCTGAAGTATTTTGTTTAGTTAATCCAATGTCTGCAAAAAACCTTGTGGTTATGGAAGATTCTTCCTTAAGCTTACAATAATAAAAAACTACTCTGCATAAAATCCTCAAAAATGTACAATTGAAATATATTTTACTAGTCATGAAGGTATTTTTTGTCCTACTTTTGTATACATATGCATGAAATATTTGTCACTGTATATTAAGTATACAAGCAATCAATCATTATTGTCTATAGACCTGACAACTGACAGGATTGACTTTCATCATATGAAGAATGATTGAAGTACAAGTCGAAAAAGAACATGAACTAATACAGTTGGAAAAATCCTGAAAACCTCATTGCTGCAGATTCAAACAGAAAAAATAGCAATCATAAAAATGGATTAATATAGACAAAGAACATATATACATGTATAGTTTTTCTCAATGATTTAAAATTCACTTAGTCATTGTGTTTTGTAGGAGCTAGACCGGTAGAAACAGAGAAACCCGACAGTGTTAGAGAGACAGTATTGTATTCACTAGTACCTATAGCCATATTAGTCTTTATTATTATAGGGATTTTCTTCATGTGGAGATTTTATTATAAAGATAGGTAAGTTATTTGTCAGAACAATATGCATCTTCACAGACATTTTATCAATATAAAAAAAAATCATGAAAATCAGCTGTACAAGGATCCGGAAATTTTTCCAGACAATTTCGGTCATTTTGAGATGTTTGAAAAGTTGGTGCCCCTTTTCAAATTGTCGATATCAACTTGACTATATTCATAGGATCAACGAACATGACGAACTTGTATTGCTGTTTCATCGCATTTACTAAGTAAATGTCTTACCATTACTATGAAGGACAGTTTAGGGAAGGCAACAGTCTAAAATTGAAATGATTTTAATGACTCAAAATGGTTAATTTCTCAGACATTGCTTACGTTTCTTTAGATTTGACAAAAGTAAAAACCGGAAGTTTGCGATATTTCAAAGTACGAATAATTCCGGATTCATTTCCGGGATTTGTTTTGTTTACCAAATTCAGTGATCTGGAAGGATTTTTTCTCTATGGGCCCAGGGCCCCCCAAAAATAAATTCAATGGGCCATTTTTAGAATTAATGGGCCATGATGTCAAATGTGTGGGCCATTCGTTTACAATAAAAAAAAGTAAAAAAAGTGTATATTTCACTGTACTTACAAGTATGATTCTAATTAATATCATGGATATTGTTCCTGTGATTTTGTAATTTCAATTTCAATGAATATACAATAACTTCTTCCAAACCGGGCAATATTTACGATAACCTTTATTTACAATGTTAAAACTGGTACTGTTCCCTTGTTCATGTTCATGTTTTTTTTACATTAAATTTGGGTCTTCGTCGATACCATACTTATTCCAGACGTTCCGTATTAGAGGACGTTTCTGGCATTTTCTCTGCACTTGTATTATTATTGCTTCATCACAATGACAAGAATAACAGTAGAGAGCAACGTTAATTGATAAGACACAACAACAATTCGCTGAAGGCATGTTTACAAAATGTCAAAACGAGCCAAAGACCAAAAAAAATTGACAAGGACAGTCAAGCCCCTTTTATGGAGACAAATACTATGCTATTCATAAAAAGGCTTTTGGATTTTTCAATCGAAACAATAGCAAGCTTACTTAAAAGATTATAATTAGAGAAGAATTCTCGCCTGTACTAGCCAATTTTCACAAATTTAAAGTTGTTTATAAATAATTATATCATGAATGATGGTTAATTACGTTTTTTGGGTAATCAGTCATACCGCATGTTGCTATTATTACCATAGGAAAACACCCGAGACGTCCCAAAAATATATAGGTGCTCCTATCATTGGAGTAAACACTACACAGTTGTGTACTCACACATGGCGGCACGAAATACGATCGGAAATCCATTTGACGATATCTCAACGTTTCAAAACGAAGTGAAAAATATCATGCGCCACGCGGGCGCTTACATTTGTCACTCTATGCGCCATTTCTGGTCGATTGGCGCAAGGCGCACGTCCTTCCCGATCACTGCAAATTGACAGGAAATCACCGGCTTTTTATGGCTTTTTTATTTTATTACCTTTAAAAGTGTTTGAATATAACAGATAATAGTTGCACTCGTTTAATTTAGCATGAAATCAATTTGCATTTTACGATTAAATATTAAATTTGCTGAAGACAATTTCACGCATGTGTATTACATAATAAATAAAGCACATGTGTTACTCATGAAAAAATACTTTTTTCTACGTAAATTTAGATTTAATTTTTAAAATCAGAATTGATGACTGTCTTTGATGAAAAGTAAATAAATAATGAATACACTTGTCAGGGAACTTTAATGTTTTAAAGATATTATTCTGAGCTTGTGATCACTGTCAGGTGTGAATTAAAACCACAGGTAAAAAGTGATTAGCGATCATTAGCCAATGTTTCCCGGAGGCATTGATATAGATATTAGGAGGGCCCTCAGGATTATCAAACTACTGTAGTGGCAGTTTTATTACAGGAAAGGGATTATAAACAAAAACAAGTGATCACAAGTGCAAAATGCGATTAAAAAATAAAATTTGTCCTAAATCCCAATTACTCATTTAGGACAAATAGTTTCATCTTAGGACATGACTGGCAAATATGACTGTTTCCGGACCCTTGGTGCTGTAATCTCCATCATAGCCTGATACTTCTTTTTTTTTCTCTAAATTTTATCAGAAAATCTGGATAAGCTTGTTTTTGTTTGCACTCTTTTAACAATACTCTCAAAATAAGTAAATGTGAAGTTTTAATAGACATTGCCTTTTAAAGTTTAAAAAGAAATCATTTAAAGGCCAAGTAATTTAAAAAAGGCACTTCCATCATTGTCGAGTCTGCAACTTTTGTTGCAAAAGAGAGACATAGCGTTCCTACATTCAGCGGCGTCCACAAATATTCACTCTGTGGTTAAAGTTTTTAAAATTTTAAATTTCTTAAACTATCCTGGATTTCTACCAGACTTGGACAGAAGCTTGTTTATGATCATAAGATAGTATCCAGAAGTAAATTTTGTAAAAAAAAATCCTGTTTATCTGCATTTTACTCATAAATGGACTTTGTTTTTCTGCCAGTTAACATTACATTCACTCTGTGGTTAAAGTTTTTCAAATTTTAATAACTTTCTTAAACTATCCTGGATTTCTACCAAACTTGGACAGAAGCTTGTCTATGATCATAAGATAGTATCCAGAAGTAAATTTTGTAAAAAAAAATCCTGTTTATCCGTATTTTACTCATAAATGGACTTAGTTTTTCTGCCTGTTAACATTACACACAGTCTGCAGTTAAAGTTTATAAAACATTTATTAGATTCATAAACCATCCTGGATTCTTACCAAACTTAAACAGAAGCTTCTTATAATCAAAAGATAGTATCTAAAGGAACATTTTTAATAATTATTTCCCCATTTTTGTTGAGCCTGCGACTAACAGCAAAAGTAGGCGAGACACTGGGTTCCGCTGAACCCTTACAAATTTTTCTACCTGTCACCTGTCTCAGTGATGGCAGAAGTTTCAGTAAATTCTTTGTAAAGATAGTCATGATATGCAAAGTATATATTATATATATGTTCATACTTTCATACATTTATATACTTTTTACAATAAAAATGCTTTAAAAGCCTAAAAAGTAAAGTAAACATGGATTGTATGACATATATTGTATCGCCTGTTATTATTAAAACAAGACTCAGGTATGTTGATTCCAATAATGGCTTCATCAACAATTGTAAGAGTAAGTGATAAGTAAATTTAAAAGTAACCACAATTGGTATAAAAGTAACCACTAAGTAAGCTGTTGTAGTAACATAGACACATTTCAATTCCATAGAGATTATTTGGTCCCACCTCATCTAGGTCCATTGACATATATATATAAGAACTTGTGGATAATTTACGTTTAGGTCAATTTTGAGAAATCACTTATAGTTAGTCGATGCTATTTGGTATCCTGGTCAATAAGCATTAGCACATCTCATTTCTATAAGTGATTCTTAGACCCAAACCTCACTGTTCCTCCTCAGTCATGGTCCATTGACTGAAATTTTTAAATAGTTTACATGTTAAAGTTAGTGATTAGGTCAGTCTAAGAGGTACAACTAAGCAGTGTTCCCGCCTGCCCTAAATAGAAGGGCGGCCCGCCCTTCTGCCCTCCAAAGTAAAAGAATGCCCCCCTCTGCCTTTTCAAAAAAATAAAATTTCCAAATTTCATGCCTACCGGCTTTTCCGGTAAAATTGTTACCTGATTGTGTAACACTAATTAACTGACAATGGGATTAAGTTAAATACCTAATGCTTTGGCAGTTTTATCACCTTTGTTAATGATTGTTTACTGCTAATTAGTGGATTTAAGATAATTGAACAAATACTAGATATTTAATACAGAATGAAATGTCCACATGTTATCCATTTGTAATGTTTATGTACAGCATGTACACCGTAAAAAAATTATTTCAGTAGGCATAACATAAAAAATAAAATCTTAAACAATTTTAAAGGCATACATAGTTTTGACTTAATTGGAAAAATGTTTTGTTTCATAACCATGAGTATGAAATTTAAAGAAGAATCAATGAAATTTGTACTTTGAACATAACAAGATTCACTTCCTGTTTTACTTCTTGTATTTTATAATCCTCCTGACATAGGAGCACTCAACAAATTAATTTTTAACAATGATGGAGAAAAAAGTAACTGTTTATACCTTCTGCAATATATTATTGCATCAATATAATATGATCATCTCCTGTCTCACCTGTTATATTTATAAAACTCCTTACTGAGGACCACTTTGGTGTGCACTTAAAAAAAATACTTTTTTGTAACAATTCAAATGATAATAAATAACTCTCAATAACATATACATGTATACTATATGTTTGAACAATTAATTTAAATGTAGATAATTTAATTACATTAATAAAATTGAGAATGGAAATGGGGAATGTGTCAAAGAGACAACAACGTTAACCTGACCATAGAGCAGACAACAGCCACAGGCCACCAATGGGTCTTCAATGCAGCGAGAAACTCCCGTACCCGGGACGTCCTTCAGCTGGCCCCTAAACAAATGTATACTAGTTCAGTGATAATGGACGTCATACTAAACTCCAAATTATACACAAGAAACTAATATTAAAAATGATACAAGACTAACAAAGGCCAGAGGCTCCTGACTTGGGACAGGCGCAAAAATGCGGCGGGGTTAAACATGTTTTTTGAGATCTCAACCCTCCCCCTATACCTCTAGCCAATGTAGAAAAAACAAACGCACAACAGTACGCACAGTAAAACTCAGTTTAAGAGAAGTCCGAGTCCGATGTCAGAATAGGAAACAAAAGAAAATAAACAAAATGACAATAATACATAAATAACAACAGACTACTAGCAGTTACTGACATGCCAGCTTAAGACCTCAATTAAACTGATTGAAAGATTATGTCTTCATCATATGAATATCAGGCACAATCCCTCCTGTTAGGGGTTTAGTATTATACCATCATAAAATATATGAGAAGAACATAACCCGTGTCATGCCAACAACTGGTTTTAGAATAAATATGTTTAATTCCGATGCAAAGACCCTATAAGTGAATCAATATTAAAGCCAAAATATGCAATCTTTAATGACCTGACAACAGTATCGTAACTATATCCCTTCTTAATAAGTCTGTTTAAAGGTTTTGTTAGCTTTTGAGGTGAATACTGACATTTTTGTGCTTTGTAAAGAATATTACCATAAAAGATTGGATGTGAAATACCTGAACGTATAAGATGTCTGCATGTTGAGTTATATTTAACATTCAATTTTGCATGTATAACTCCATCTTTCAAAACTACTTGTTTATTTTGGTATAAGTTATAAAACATTGAAATTTCTGAAGATTATTTTCCTTACCAAATGTACAAGTTTGTTTAGATTAACATCAAAATGATATGCTTTGCTTCATGGTATGATAATTTGATAAAAAAAATTCTTACTGGAACCAACATCAAGAACACATTAATTTCTGAATTTGGTTTAAATACAACTAATGTTCTCCAGCTGAGCCTAGCAATATTCAAGGTAATTTATACACTGTCCAACATTGCCCTTAAAATCTGGGTTATAACAATAAAGTGCCCTTTCAGACAACTAGCACCCTTCTGCCCTGAGATTCAAGCTGGAACATTGCTAAGTGTATTGACTATGTTTCACAGTTACAACCCCTTTACAGAAAATGTACATGGTACACCACATTTCTCCTTTAAATTCTGTCTTTGAAAATATGGTGTTATTTCAATAATTTTTCTCTAATACAGTTATGAAATACAAAATATGTTGGAGGATATTTGGGTCTTTATGCATGACCCATAAAGCTCAGAAATTGTTTTCTTTAGGTCCATGTTGATAATTTCAATAGTAAGTACATAAATTAGTTACTATTAGTCAAGGAATGTTAGTTAGATAAAAATTATTATCATATATATGTGTCAATGTCTGTGTATAATTAAAGTTTGATTGTTTTTTTTTATAGATTTGGGCATGAGCAGCTTCCAACATTTGATCCTGTACAAAGTACTCCACCATCACCTCAACCATTGAAGCCTGTACAGTTGATTGAACTTAGAGCACATGGGCGTTTTGGTGAAGTATACAAAGGCACAATGGCAACAGAGGCTGTGGCAGTCAAAATATTTCCTATGAAAGAAAAGGTGTCATGGATGATGGAACAAGATATTTATAAACTACCTCATATGAAGCATGATAATGTTTTGCGATTTATTGCTGCAGAAAAACGTGATGATAAATTATGGTTAATTTCTCAGTTTCATGATCTTGGCTCACTATGTGACTACCTGAAAGGTCACAAGTTAACCTGGTTGGACATGTTGAAGATTGGTGAGAGCATGGCTAAAGGTTTAGCTTATCTACATGATGATATACCAGGTGCTGGTCATTCTGAGGCAAAGCCATCAATTGCTCATCGAGATTTCAAAAGCAAGAATGTTCTTTTGAAATCTGATCTAACAGCTTGCATTGCTGACTTTGGTCTTGCTCTGAAGTTTGATGCGGGAAAAAGTGCTGGTGAAATTCATGGTTTGGTATGTTAATAAACTTTTTTTTTATCATTTACATAAAACATTGGATTTACTGAATGTTATTTGCTAAACCAGATAATATAGTGTTCACATTCAAAAACATGACTGCAAGAAGGGATAACAAATGAGTACACATTTAGTTTGTTTAATTTTAACATAATAAAGACTTATAAATTCCATTCTTGATTGCAATTTACAATTGTAATGAATACAAATTTAATGTACATGATGTACGAGTCTGAGAGAGAATTATTAAAAAAAAAAGGAATACACATGTAACTATAGAACAGTGTTACATTACAATGCATTGAATAATAGATTTTTCCACGTCCTCTCAGAGGTAGAATGATAAAGTGATAATGTTAAGGTTACATTTTTGACTCACCTGGACATAGGGATTGCTTTTCCGACAACGGCTGCGGTGACAGCGTCAACAATTGTTAAGTTTTCTGCTTAAGTTAGTTTGATAGGAACTACTTGTGATAGATCTTTGATATTTTGTTTGAAGATGCATTATTATTTTTACTATCAGTACATATCAATTTGACGACAATTTTGAGGCCCTGCCCCCTAGGCCATGGTCTAGTGACTTTGAATTAATTAGCAATTTTAAATGTTAAGTTTTCTGATTAAGTAAGTTTGATAGGAACTACTTACAAAAGACAATATTTTCTATAAAGTTACATTGCTGTCTGTACATCTCAATTTGTCAACCATTTTGAGGCCCTACCCTAGCTACCCACCAGTACAGTTACTTTGAATTAATTAGCAATGTTGCTGTCCATCAGATATGTCTTTTTCTGAATTTTATGCCTACAGGTGAGGCATATCTGTGTCAACAGTTTATTTGATGAATTTGTGGTTGTGCAAAATCTGCATGATATAGACATGCCACTAGGTTATATAGTTGAAAATACACAATTTTCAACAAAATTGATTCTTTATTGATGATTTAGAGGTAATATATGATGAACTTAAAAAAAATTTATGGAATTGATTTCTTTCCCTAATAACTGAATTTTCTCCACTTGAAGGTTGGAACAAGAAGATATATGGCACCAGAGGTCCTCGAGGGAGCTATTTGTTTTAATCGTGATGCTTTCCTAAGGATAGACATGTATGCATGTGGATTGGTTCTGTGGGAGCTTGTATCTAGATGTTCAGTAGCTGAAGGTCAAATAGACAACTATCAGCTGCCATTTGAAGAAGAAGTGGGGACTCATCCTACTTTAGAAGACATGCAAGAATATGTTGTCTTGAAAAAGTGTAGACCAACTATAAAGGAAACATGGCTGAGACATTCGGTTAGTAGGATTCATTCAATGTCATATATTTAGTTTGATAAAGAAATTAGACATCGAAAATTCTCTGACAAAAATAAAGTATTCTAAAGAGCAGTTGCCTTGCGAAATATAAATGAAAACCTTTATGAAAATTAAATCAGTAACCATAGAGACAAATTCAAAACAATGGCTACGCCCAACTATATACTTTAGTACATTTATATTCAGTACGCATGTCTTGCTTGGATTTATAAAAAATTATTAAAGAATGAAACCCTACATACATGAACATATTTTCATACAGTGATCAATTTATTTTTATTTCTGATAGAAAAGCAGAAAAACAAATATGAACATTACATAACCAGCTTTTATTTTTATGCCCCCGCCCGTAGCGGAAGGGGCATTAAGTTTTATCCTTGTCCGTCCGTACTTCCCAAAATTGGTTTCCAATCTATAACTTTAGTTTGCCTCTACCAAATGTTATGAAACTTATACACAATGCTTATTACCATAAAACACAGATCAAGTTTGAATTTTGGTGGCGTCACTATAACTGTTCTAGAGTTATGCCCCTTTACAAATGGAAAAATTGCTGAATTTTTCGTTTCCGTTTTCTAACTTTAGTTTGCCTCCACCAAATGTTATGCAACATATACACAATGCTTATTACCCTATAATACAGATCAAGTTCGAAATTGGGTGGCGTCACTTTATGGTTCCTGAGTTATGCCCCTTTATAAACATAAAAACTGCTGAATTTTTCGTTTCCATTCTCTTACTTTAGTTTACCTCAACCAAATGTTATGAAACTTGTACACAATGCTTATTACTACAAAATAGAGATCAAGTATGAAATTGGGTGGCATCACTTGTACCATTCTTGAGTTATGCCCCTTTATAAACATAAAAATTAATGAATTTTTCATTTCCGTTCTCTAACTTTAGTTTGCCTAAACCAAATGTTATGAAACTTATACACAATGCTAGTTACCACAAAATACAGATCAAATTTGAATTTTGGAGGTGTCACTTTTACCAGGCCATAATCTTGCCGGCAAAATGACAATTTAAGTCGCCAAGGAATTTTGAAAATCGCTAAAACTCGCCGTCCGACTGACTTCATGGCGAAGTCAAATCGCTATCAAAATCGGTTTAAGGGAGACAACTTGAATTTTACAAGTCTCACAGGTAAACAAAACCAAACAAAAATGGCGACCGACAAGGAAAATTGAAATTTTTGAAACGACCCAGGACTAATACTGTCGACGTTTAAATGAAATAAATACAACGGAGACTTTGAACATCCATGGATTTAACATTCAAAACTATTGAAAGGAGAAACCGAGCGTCTGTTTTAGTTATCACTTTACAATGATTTTCATCTGAGGATGTTGCGTAATCACTCAGCTGATTTGTTTTCTTTTTATTTATCACGAGACGATCAATTTTACTGTTCGGTAGGTTAAGAGTGGGAATGAACGGCAGATTTTTTATATTCTTTGATTAAAATTTGAAATATAAAAGGTAGAAAAACAGCTAATGGATAACTTGGTTGCAAAGAGTAATGTACAACACATGGCCAGCTTGTGATCAGCAGTGGGTTTTTCACGACCAATTTGTTAATGAGGGAGATATTTTAAAAAATGTGATTGATAAATATTTTTATTTATATATAGGCTTACAATCTTTCATGAGATTTTCAACTTACAGCTGACATGATGTCCTGGACTGTCAATATTTTACAAAAGATAAACATTAAATTGCCCAGTCATTAAAAAGTCATCACATAAACTGGGAGTCATATTTTTCTGGACTTAAAAAATTGAAGCAGATGCATATGGGATTAATGCATGATAATATTATTAGGCAAGCAACAAAATAAATTTCAAGTTGACAGCACTTTAGAATTTTCAATTCATACATTTTATACAATATTATAATCATATAAAACACTGCAAGGAAATTTTTTATTGCACAAATAAAACATGTTTCCCTTAATGATGTGCACGAAAACACTATGCATACGAAATGGTAATGGAATTTCACTTCTCCAAGAAATTGACCACTTCTCCCAACTCTCTCATGGGAGGAGAAGTCACTTCTCCCTCTAAAAAATCCTAGATTAGACCCTGTAAGCCTGTTTACAAATGGAAAAAATTGCTGAATTTTTCGTTTCTGTTCTCTAACTTAAGTAAGCCTCAGCCAAATGTTATAAGACTTATACACAATACTTATTACCACAAAATTCAGATCAAGTACAAATTTGGGTAGTGTCACTTTTACTGTTCTTCAGTTATGTCCCTTTATAACTTTATATGATATGCAAGCAGGGGCATCATCTGTGTCCCATGGACACATTCCCTATTTATTTTACACAAACATGTTCCTGAAAAATATAAAGAAAGAAATCACCCTTACCCTTTTATATAACAGTGGTTTGGGCTAGTTACATCTCAGGATACGGTCAAGCTCATTCATTACAGAAGTTTCAATGAATATACGTTTATCATCTAATTAAATATATCAGAAAATGGCATATTTTTGCTAACATTTAGAGTATTCCACTGTGTTTGGTTTCAAGCTACATGTAAAATATGAACAAATGAAAGAAAATGAATATTGTCAACAGTTTATTGAAATATATGGATAATTTGTAATTACAGGGTCTGGAGGTAATGATTAACACCATTGAAGAATGTTGGGATCAGGATGCTGAGGCCAGAGTGTCGGCTAATTGTGTGCATGAACGTTTGATTGCCTTGAGCCGATTGACAAATGTGTCACCTGTTATTTTTTCACCAAGTGAGGAAATACCATACCAGATATCTTCCATTTCAGCTTAAGGATTAACTTAAAGGGTTTCTTGTATTTGCATTATTCATAAAAGACTAGGGTGCACGTCTAGTATTTAATTATTCAGTTGGTTTAAGTTCTATAATAAAATAAAACAGTTTTATAGATTTAAAAAGGCACACAAAAGAAGAACACAAATAATCAAATTTGAAATCTTTCATATTTTTTTCATGTGAAAAAAGAAATAATACTGTATAGTTAGATTGATGAATTAAAGGTGCACACAATACTATTTTGTATAATGGTATAAAAGCTACAGAAGGACATCAGTATTCAAATGTATTCATAAAAGAACACAGAACTGATTAAGACTTCTGTCTGACTAGATGTAAAATCGGATATGAGAAAATTCAAGGGAGACAATTCATGTTATCTCAAGATATGTTTCCAATGGACATGTGTTATAAATGTATTTGTAAAGAGGAAGTTCAGTCTAGAAAAAAACAATGCATTTGAAAGTTTCAAAAAGGATTAAGAATTTAGTGTTTACTAGATCATCATTGTCTTTTTCCTAAGTTGATAGGTATTTATTCTGCAGTTTATATTGTAATGAACTGTAACAATAAGAAAATATACGTGAAATAAGACAACAATTGTAAGAAAAATCACAAGTAACTGGAGAGTTAGGATTATAGGTAGAATTACATCAAATGGCATTTCATTGTAAATTTTTGTATAAAAATGATGTATTATACAATGATAATTATTATATTAGTGGAAATCAATAGTATATGGGCATTGTATTATATTAATGTACTAAATGGTTAGATTTATGTTTCATACAGTGCTTTAACTAAATCCTAATCAGCACTTACAACCATGTTCTAGCTTTCGAGGTAAAATTCATGTCAGAGCATGTTTTGTTTTATACAGTGATAGAAGAAAACTTATTTATTAAAAATCACAAGGTTAGTTAGCATGTTTAATATTTGTATATCATTTTATCATAGCTATTTCATAATTCAGGGATGACTAAATACCTCTTTACACACATGCAACTTAATGTAAGAAAGAAATTCTGCTGACTATGTTACAATTCATTCTTGTCAGGTTGTTAACAATGTTAATTAACATGTTATGTAAGTCAAACCTATGTATGTGTACTATTTTAAATGGAGTCATAAATTATGTCATGATGAATTTTACCAAAAACTTGGATTTTCCCCCAAAAAGTGTCAGATTTTACCACACTAAACTAATAACAGGGCAGATGATATGTGATAAATTTTTGTTGACATATTTAAGAGTTAATTGTAGTATTTTCTATGGTCTAATGATGAAAAGACTCATTTGGTGTCAAAAACTTTGGCTTTTTACTTCTGATTTTATCTGAATTTTTATATGCGTGTAGGATTAAATGTTTTAAACAGAACATCCTTTTTTTTCCAATTAAAATAATATGGAAAAGACAAAGAAAGAAAAGGTGAACTATGTATAGGTAAAGTTTATTTTTAAAATCATTTAGTCATAAATATTTTTGGATTTGAATAGGAAAGTAGTAAAAGCTTCTTTGCAAATAGACATTATTGTTAATTGTGTTTGGGTTATCCAGAAAAAAATGGTATATGAGTTGGAAGAAATTTTTCCCATGCTCACTATCATTGCTAAACCTGATAAGAAATTTAAGCATTGCCCTTCTTAAATGTCATTCAAAACCCAATACCCATATACTTTTTATCTAGAATATCCCTTTACACAATAATCTGAACTGCCCTAATAATTATCTATATGAAATTTTGAGTCCAACATGACACCAGAATTTCTTATTTTTACAAGAATACATTCAGGAAATATGGCCACACCAATTTTTTATTAAGTATTTTGGATTGTTGAATGACGAAAATGTTTTCAGATTAACAGTGATGTATTGTTGTACGTGTTTGTGCAGTCTATTCCATATATGAATATCTAATACCCAAGGAAGGCACAAAGTAAATCAATATACAAGTTATAGTTCTGTTAAGTTTGCAGAAAAGAAATAATCTCAGTGTGCCTTCTCTGTGATATGTTATTTGTTAATGAAATAAGCACAGGTAGGGAAAAAATTTTAAATAAAAAAGATGAATAACTTACGATTTTGTTTTATTTTTTCAATAATGTTCAGTATGGAATTGAATTCTGATATGTTTTCCTCTTGATGAAAAACAGATATTCAGTATGTAAATAAAACATTGTCTGCTAAATACTTGATGCAGAAAAAATCCAAAGAACTTAAAATGAAATGTGTGTGGTCTATAGTTATCAGTGCCCTTATAAAAATGTTTTACTCAAGAAGGTAGCATTTTCTCATGAACTTTCTGTATGTAGTATTCCCAAATAAGTAGCTTAGGATATGTTGAAATTTCTCATAAGACAATGTGTCACCATTTAACACTTTGTTTACATTATGCTATTCAGAATTGTTGACCACAGTGCTAATTTCAAACACTCCATCAATCAGATATATAATAGAAATTCATCATGTTATTAAACTTTCATGTATTTACCATGAAGGAAGGTTTTTTCTTATAACAAAGTCACAATCATGTTTATATTACTTGTTGTATATTGTCAAATAAAATAAACGACTTTCTTAATTTTTAATAATTTTTTTTTAATAGTTTTTTTTTCAAGCAGATTTATCAAAGAAAATGTATATGTATCCCGGTGATTAAAGCTAACTGTGGCACTTGATAAAAATTATGGGTAAATTTAGTCTTTCATTGATCATTTACCTTTGAAAAAATATGTTGTGGTTTCGTAGCACTTGATCTTGATAGATTAAATTAATAGCAAATCATGTTATTATTGCTAATAATGTTATGATAAAATAGTTTTGACAAAGATTGAAAAGATATAAAGTTTGAGTGTTGATATTATTTCTTGGAAGTACCAATAGATAGATTATATTGTTTTGTTTTTTTTAAATCTTACATTTTCCAGGAATAGGCCATTTGTAAGAAATAAATTTCTGCCTGTTTTATGTCACTTTTTAATTTTAAGATATGTTTACTAGACTATAAACAACAAAGGAAGAAATTAGGATTACCCTTTATAGCCATATTAATAATTTTGTTATACATACTATAATTTTATTAATATGTGAAGAACACATTTCAAAGTTTTTAGTGCCACATAGTTTTAAGGATCAAATGTTTGTTTTTAAACGACTTTGATAAAGTGTGTAGACAGTTTGTTATATTATTTATCATGAGTTTTTGTTTTTTTAGGGGTGGGAGTATAAATGAATTGCACTCTACTTGTCATACATATGTTGTAAGTTGTATATACTGCTATGTAAATACTTGTAAATAATCATAAAGCCAGTAAAATGTGGATTTTTTTAAGTATGTGTGTTATCTATAATATTATGCAAAACCACTAGGTTTGTAAAATCAGGTTTTCACTGTTAATTCTATTTAAATATAACGCTCTTTAGTCAAATATACTGTTTAAAAGTACTTCATATACTGGTATATCTCTATTTCTCACCTGCCAAACACACATTCAGATATTTTGTTTTCTCTAATTCTTCGTCAATTTATCCCTTTCTGCACCCATTGTATAAACAAAATTTAATCAACGTGTGGTTCGTTTGATCTCAGTTCTTCATTGGTTAAAATCCGATTATGACGTCGAATTTTCTTGCTTTCCTCTGAATTTCCTATTGTGACGGCATGAAAAAAGGCGACCATGCCTGATGACGTCACATAGAAAGAGCACATCTTTTTGCAGATCATTTGAAAAGAAGGAATAAATTTGCCTGCGTATTGTTTGAAAATCATTAGAGAAACAGATTCCACCACCAAATCTCGTGTAATACGATATTTATCCACTCTTGACAGTTAAATTTTAAATACTTAAAACGCTCGGCAAGCCTCGCGTTTTAAATTTGAAAATTTAACTGTATCGAGTGGATAAATATTGTATCACACTCGATGTAGTGGTAGAATCTATATATATCTAGAAAAAGTACACATTTGTTTCTCTAAAATTATAATATAGAATTTTTCTAGAAAAGAAATTTGAAGACTTTTTTTAGAAAAACTGCTTCTGCTTTTTGTTTGTGTTGTGCAAGAAAAAGATCATTCATGTTCTTGCATGAGTATATTTAAGATTTGAGTTTTGATTTAATCAAATCCACTTAAAGATGATTGCTGCTGAAATATAAAATACCAACATTTTTTAAATGACCGGTTTTAGATTGAAAATGTACTAAATATTAAAACTATAGGACAAAAATATCAGTCCCTTTGATATTATTTTTTGGCAGGAATAGACATCTGGATATTTTATAAGTAATATGTAGCCTGAAAGGAATTACATCCTTGAATAATTATGCCCTAATTTTATGTTAATTGAACTGAAAATTGCCATTGCTTCTCTTATTTTAATGAAATATACCAGTTATCAATGTATTGGAGAGTGGGATAAGTGAAATGACCAATTCATTCATTTTTAAACAGTTTTGGGAAAGTAAATGAAATTTTAATAAATGTTTAACATCGTTTAATATGGCAATTGTTTATTTTTTACCCTTGGTTTTGTCAAGTAAGTGCATTAAGTTCCAGTCTGAAACAATTCCAAATAGTTGCAAGTCTTTTATGAATAATTTTATATAAAAAATATCTTTAAAAACATTTTCTGAATTATTTTCCTAAGTAAAACTTTTGTAACTGAATATATTTAAATTGTAAGAAAAACAGCACCATGCTTTTTGTAACTTGACAAAATTTGGTAATAAAATTTAAGATTGTATAATTGTAAATAAAAATGAAGGTTGCCTCCCTTTTACCAGGTTTAGGTTGGTAGAAAAATTACCAATGATGATTTCTGTATTTTTCCCCCATCATTTAGCCACACCACCATGGCAGTTTAAGAATATGATATTTTGATATATAATGTTTGTATAGGCTGCTGGAGGACTGCATCATGAACATTAAAACTGAATCCTACCTCCCTCATCCACCTCAAAGATTGTTTCAGTGATTACAAAAAAGAATATGTCAATCTATAAAGGACTGGGAATAATGGGTACCTTGTTTTGTGAAGTCAACTCCACCTTCAGTTTTCCTCCCAAGGCCTTCAACTTTCATTTATGTTTGTATATATTCTGGTAAGATATGCACATTTTGTGTACACAATTGGAGAATTTCTACACATTTTCTACATGGACAAACCTGTTCAGTTTCATCAAAATTCTTCAAGGATGGTGTCAATTTTATGAAATCAACTCCTACAGATTTTAATCCAGAACCTTTAAACCTTTTTTTTTTAAATAGGTATATACATTACATTGAAGATGTGACGTAAGATAACTTTCAACTCTCAATAGAGGTACCCCTTTTTTGACAACTTTGTCTTGTTTTGCTAATATCTCTTGGGAGAAAAGCTCTTCTTAATTTTGTTGATATGCACAAGCCTTTGAAATGAGTTTTTGACAGTTCATTGACAGCGAAATTCTGCAAAATGCGATAATGAACTCTTTTAATATTAAACCATTGTGTGCTTGCAATAAGCAGTCATACAATTTTATCAATATACTATTTTTTTTATATTGAAGGGAGGTATCTTTACTGATTGTGCATTGAAATTTAAAGGTTTATCATCTTTAAATTTGGCTTTACTCAGAAAGTCTATTGTAATTTAATCGCTTATATTATCATCAATATTAAATCTCAACCCAGTTAAATTAGAAATGAAAAATAATACCTCATACTATTATTATTATTATTGATTCAAGTGTAATTTAGAAATTGTTGATTATAAAATGTAGGCAGTATGATTTCAGTGAAAAAGGCTGTCATATTTGGATACTTGTGTGTGAACTTTTTGTAACTATTGTATTTCCTCTTTAATAGATTACAGTTGTGTATCAACACATTTAAGTTGCAAGTTCGTTTTATATGTATATAGAATAAATTTTTTTTTATTATTAAATTTTTTTTATCTTCTAAGACAGTTTATTTTTTTTTTAATATTTCACTTGCTTGATTATGTAGTAAAGTATATTGAATATATTTTACAGTGTAATTTGTTATGTGTTAGTTTTTGATATCAAATTGATTTTGAAAAGATGAACTTTTATAAGCATTTAGGAAATGTGATTTTTGATTACAGTGAATTGATATCATGTAAAGTTACAATTCATAGGTTATAACAAATCTTTTTAAGTACTATCAAAAAGAATTTTGACTGAAATTGTTTAATTATTAAGATATGTTTTATGAGTATGTATATCTTTGTTATTGAGATGTTGCCATTGTGTAATAATTGTTTTATTGTGGACAATAAAACTAAATATAATAAAATTTTCTTTATTTGAGCTCGATTGCTCTTAACAAATTTATACCCCTACAACAGAGGTGGTGGTATAATGCAATGACCTTCTTGGAAGGTTCTGTTAAAAACTACTCAACCTCTGTAAGGAATAATTTCATATTTAGTCTTAATGTTGAGGTGTACTTTATAAGCTATTCAAATCTGCCATGGAATCAAGTCTTGTTTCAAGATAGTTTGAATTTTTATTAACACACGGCACGAAATTTATGCTCACCTGGCCTACACGGCCATGTTAACTTTTGCCATGGCTTTGGGTCCTGCATCCGTCTGTCAGTTGTTAATTTTTATGTCCCACCTAGGGGCATTATTGTTTTTCGGTTGGTGCGTTCGTCCGTACGTACGTTAGTTCTATCTATTCTGCTTCAGGTTAAAGTTTTTGGTCAAGGTAGTTTTTGATGAAGTTGAAGTCCAATCAACTTGAAACTTAGAACACCTGTTCCCTATGGTATAATCTTTCTAATTTTGATGCCAAATTAAAGTTTTGACCCCAATTTCACGGTCCACTGAACAAAGAAAATGATAGTGCATCCGTGTACTATGGACCCATTCTTGTTTTTGTGCCTCCATCGTAGTGGAGGGGGCATTAAGTTTAACCCTTGTCTGTCTGTACATCCGCTCGTACGTCCAACGTCAGTCCAAAGTTGGTTTCCTTTCTTTAACTATAGATTGCTTCAACCAAATGTTATGAAACTTATACACAATGCTTATCACCACAAATGACAGATCAAGTTTGAATTTTGGTGGCGTCACTTTAACCGTTTTAGAGTTATGCCCCTTTACAAATGGAAAAATTGCTGAATTTTTTGTTTCCGTTCTCTAACTTAAGTTTGCCTCAACCAAATGATATGAAGCTGATACACAATGCTTATTACCACAAAATACAGATCAATTCGGAATATTGGTGGTGTCACTTGAGCCGTTCTAGAGTTATGCCCCTTTACAAATGTGAAAAATTGCTGAATTTTTTGTTTCCGTTCTCTTAAGTTAGCCTCAACCAAATGTTATGAAACTAATACACGATGAATATTACTACAAAATACAGATCAAGTTTGTTTTTTTGGGGGTGTCACTCTTATTGTTCTAGAGTTATGCCCCTTTACAAATGGAAAAATTACTGAATTTTTTGTTTCTTTCTAACTGAAGGTTGCCTCAACCAAATGTTATGAAACTTATACACAATTGTTATTACTACAAAACTCAGATCAAGTACAAATTTGGGTAGCATCACTATTACTGTTTTTCAGTTATGTCCCATTATAACTTTATATGATAGACAAGCGGGGGCATCATCTGTGTCCCATGGACACATTCCCCATTTATTTGTAAATCTACTCTAAAACTACTTGGTCAAAAGTTACAAAAGTTTAACTGGATTTTCCTTAGGGTTTCTACTTTAAAAAATGTGTTTAGGGATTTGATCTATCATTTAACATGGCAGCTATTGCTTTTGGCTTATACATGTATCTTGAGCAAATCTGACGTGGATAAAAATGATCAGCAAATCAAGGTCTATCTACTGTGTTTTCAGAAAAATCAGACAATCCATTTAGGAGTCATTTTTTGGTTTTGCTGAATTTTAGGCTTACTTATATAACTAAAGCAGTTAGATCATATCTGACTTGGGTTGATTTAATCAGCAGGTCTATCTCCTGTTGAATTTTAAGAACAATTGGACAACTCATTTTAGAGTTATTGCCCCTGAAATGTAATTTTTTGGTAAATTTCCCAAAGGGCAAAGTGAGCTTTTCACATCACTTGGTGTCCGTCGTTAACTTTTACAAAAATCTTCTCCTCTGAAACTACTGAGACAAATTTTACCAAACTTGGCCACAATCATCATAAGGGTATCTAGTTTAAAAAAAATGTGTCCGATGACCCAGCCTGCCAACCAACCTGGACGACATGGCTAAAAATAGAACATAGGGGTAAAATGCAGTTTTTTGTCCCGCTTGATGGAGTCAAAAAGCAAGACATAGGTATGCTGTTTTATGGCGTTGTTGATGGTGGCGGCGGCGTCAACATTGTATTAGTTTGTGATTAGGTATAGTTTGTGGTGAACCACAAGTTGTAGGTCAATCATATTTGATATACAGTTGTATTAGTATTGGCACATCTCATTTCCATGGAGATAATTTGGCCCTGCCCCCTCAGTCATGGTCTATTGACTTTGAAACTTTTGCTTATTTTACATGTATTGGTTTGTGATTAGGTCAGTTTATGGGGAACCATTAGTGGTAGGTCAATGATATTTGGTATGCAGTTGTATTAACATCGGCACATTTCATTTCCATGGAGATTAATTGGCCCTGCCCCCTCAGTCATGGTCTATTGACTTTGAAACTTTTGCTTATTTTACATGTATTAGTTTGTGATTAGGTCAGTTTATGAGGAACCATTAGTGGTAGGTCAATGATATATGGTATGCAGTTGCATAAGCATTGGTATATCTCATTTCCATGGAGATTATTTGGCTCAGCCCCCTTAGTCATGGTCTATTGACTTTGAAAATTTTGCTTAGTTAACATGTATTAGTTTGTGATTAGGTCAGTTCAAGGGGAACCATTAGTGGTAGGCCAATGTTAATTGGTATTCAGTTGTATAAGCATTAGCACATCTCATTTCAATGGACAATATTTGGCCCCATCCCCTCAGTCATGGCCTATTGACTTTGAAACTTTTGCTTAGTTAATGTATTAGTTTGTGATATGATCAGTTTAAGATGAACTGCTAATGTTAAGTCTATGATATTTGGTATGCAAATTTATTGGCATTTGTAAGTATGGTTTCCATGGAGATTATATAACTCCACCCCCTCTTCATGGTTCATTGACTTTGAAACTTTTACATAGTTTACAAGTTACTGTTTGTGTTTGTGTTTAGGTTTGTTTAAAGGGAACAACTTATAATAAGTCAATGATATTTGGTATGCAGTTGTATTAGCATTGGCGCATCTCATTAACATGGATATGGTTTAGCCATGTACCTCAGTCATGGTTCATTGACTTTGAATATTAGCCTAACTTGTTAAGTATTGCCATTTTAATTTCAACATTTGCATAATCAAAATTACAAAAAAGAGAGACATATCTCTGTGATAACAGTTTATGTCTTTTATCTCTGAAACTAAAGCATTTAGAGCAAATCTGACATGGGATAAAAATGTTCATCAGGTGAAGATCTATCTGCCCTGAAATTTTCAGACGAATCATACAACCAGTTGTTGGGTTGCTGCCCCTGAATTGGTAATTTTAAGGAAATTTTGCAGTTTTTGGTTATCTTGAATATTATTATGGATACAGATAAACTGTGAACAGCAATAATGTTCAGCTAAGTAAGATCTACAAATAAGTCAAACATGACCAAAATTGTCAATTGACCCCTTAAGGAGTTATTGCCCTTTAAAGTCAATTTTTAACAATTTTTCATAAATTTTTGTAATCTTTTACAAAAATCTTCTCCTCTGAAACTACTGAGACAAATTTTACAAAACTTGGCCACAATCATCATTAGGGTATTTAGTTTAAACAATGTGTCTGATGACCCTGCCTTCCAACCAACATGGCTAAAAATACAACATAGGGGTGAAATACAGTTTTTGGCTTATATCTTGGAAACTCAAGCATTAAGAGCAAATCTGACTTGGTAAAAATGTTCATCAGGTTTAATTCTATCTGACCATTTTCAGACAAATCAGACAACCCCTTGTTGGGTTGCTGCCCTGAATTGGTAATTTTAAGGAAATTTTGCATTTTTTGGTTATTTTGAATAATATTTTAGATAAGATAAATTTTAAACAGCAATAATGTTCAGCAAAGTAAAATCTACAAATAATTCAACATGACCAAAATCGTCAATTGACAAATTATTGGAGTTATTGTCCTTATAGTCATTTTCTGCATTTTTTTGGTAATTTTTGTAAACTTTTTTCAAAAATCTTCTGCTTTTAATTTAACAACTGGGCCAAATTAAACCAAACTTGGCCTCAATCATCATAGGGTATTTAATACTATTTATTCTGATTTTAACCTTATTAAACATGATTTCCAAAACCACAGTAGAGGCAGGTGAGCGACACAGGCTCTAGTGTGTTATTATCTTGAAAACTTCATTAGATAATGAGAACTTTTACACAATAAAAATGTACAGAGCAATAAGATCTACAAATAAGTCATAAAAATCATCAAATGACCCCTTATAGAGTTATATCTTTCAAATGATGAGTTTTACCTTTTTTGCATTTTTAAGGAAATTATTATAGTTTATGAAGAGAGTCTTTCCAAAGTAAAAAAGTTCAACAAAATATGATCTTCAATAAACAACTTTGAGGAATTGTCAATTAACCCCTTATAGGAGTTATTACCCTTAAAAGACATATTTTCCTTTTATCTCACCAGGACCACAGGGCTACGTGAGCTTTTCTAATCACTCGGCGTCCTTTCGTCTGTCGTTGTCGTCCGTCATTGTCTGTTAAATTTTACAAAAATCTTCTCCTCTGAAACTACTTGGCAAAATTTAACCAAACTTGGCGACAATCATTATTGGGGTATGTAGTTTAAAAAATGTGTCCGATGACCCCACCTGCCAACCAAGATGGCCGATATGGCTAAAAATAGAACAAAGGAGGGAAATACATGTTTTGTCTCTTATTTTGAAAACCGTTATGGATAGAGAAAATCTGACAAAACAAAAATGTTCAGAATGTTGAGCTCTACCAATTGTTCATATAAGTCAAAACGGTCAGACGACTTCTTATAGGAGTTATTGCCCTTAAATGACAAATTTTACCATTTTTGTCTCGCCTGCGAAGAAAGTCGCGTAAAGCGAGACATATGGATTTCTTTTCCGGTAACGGCTTCAACAATTGTTTAAGTTTTCTGCTCAAGTTAGTTTGATAGGAACAACTTGTGATAGATCATTGTTATTTTGTATGAAGTTGCATTACAATCAGTACATATCAGTTTGACATCTG